TGGTTCAAGCCCACCAGCCACTCCTCAGAAACCTTATACAGGATCGCTATGAGTTGGAACTGACTGGACGACACTAACAATACAAACTAACCACAAGGTCAGACCCACCAGCCACTCCTCTGAGGCCTTGTACAGAGTCGCTATGAGTTGAAACTGACTCTGCAGCATTTAACAACAACAATGTGACTTATGGAGTGAGGTGGCTCTTTAGGATAAGTACTGAGACTGCAACCCAAAAAGTCAACAGTTCGAACCTACCAGTCATTCTGTAGAATAAAGATGATGCTTTCTTGCCTTATAAAAATTTACAGCCTCAGAACCCTGTACAGGTCCTATATGAGTAGGAACCCACTTTCCAGCATTTAACAACCACAAACACAATGTGACTGGAATTTAAATGGATTTTACTCAAACCTTGTAAGTCTGTGAAATAAAGAAAAAATGAATGAGTTGAGGGAAGAGTTAGATTTTTTTCCTTAAGGTTTCTCTTCACACCAGAACATAGGTAATGTGAATTACAATGAAAGAAGTACTTGAGAATCAAATCTTTAGAATGCCATTTTAGAACTTAGTGGCCTGACCAGGGAAGTAAAGTCTATAGAGTCTCTTTTTTGGATAAAAAAGAGACATAGGAGGTCGAACAATCTGTTTTTGCTTTTGGTTATCATTTGGCGTTGCCAGTGAATTGTTTTTTCGTGTATGTAGAAGGAAATGAGCAGTCATATAACTTTCATTTTGAAACTTAGGATAGAAAGCTTTTTCTTTAGGCTTTTTAATTTTTTTTTTTTCCATTTTACTTTGTAATACTATTCTGTTGTTATTAAAAAAGTACACTTTTCTATTATAGTGATTTAAACTCTAAAGTAAATTGCATTGATTTAAGTTGGGGATCTTACTCTTTTTATCCTCTCTCCCTTTCAGGACTTGAACCAATGAAACAATCTGACAGCACTTATGAAGATAGATGATGCCCCTTCCTTTGTAATTGGAACTTCTGCGTAGATGCTGTAAAGCTGTATTTGACTTTCTTTCATTGCCCACTGACTTTGAGTTGCAGGAAAGTCTCTAAAGATTGAGATCAAATGACGTCAATGGCCAGCTTGTTTTCTTTTACTAGTCCAGCAGTAAAGCGATTGTTGGGCTGGAAACAAGGCGATGAGGAGGAAAAATGGGCAGAAAAGGCAGTGGATGCTTTAGTGAAAAAGCTAAAAAAGAAAAAGGGTGCCATGGAGGAACTGGAAAAAGCCTTGAGCAGTCCAGGACAACCAAGCAAATGTGTCACTATTCCTAGGTCTTTAGATGGACGTCTGCAGGTTTCTCACAGAAAAGGCCTACCCCATGTTATATACTGTCGGGTTTGGCGCTGGCCTGATTTACAGAGTCATCATGAGCTAAAACCATTGGATATTTGTGAATTTCCTTTTGGATCTAAGCAAAAAGAAGTTTGTATTAACCCATACCACTATAAGAGAGTGGAGAGTCCAGGTAGGTTTTGCTCCCCTGAGAGGGGGAAAAAGAAAAATCTTTCTGATTTGCTTTTAACTGTATTTAGTAATTAAAAAACTATATTAACCTTGTGTTTCCTTCTTAAATATTTTAATCTTAGAAGGAATATTTGGTTTTGAATTGAGCTTTTTGCATGGAGGTGGTTTATTCTAATTCATAGTTCACTCTTGTTGTTGTTGTGAGGTGCCATCAAGTTGGCAACAACTTATCATTACCTTGTGCATAATAGAATGAAACACTGCTGAGTTCTGCACCAACCTGTATCATTTCTGTGGATGACTTCCATCTGTTTATCGAAGGCTTAAATTAAGCTCCATGTAAACACTTAGCCCCACTCCTTTGTGTCAAGAACTTGGTTCCCACAATCACTGGTAGCAATATTGTGTTTTCACTATTTCTGACAGCATACAAGCATGCCATAATACCTCCCATTCTAAAATAAAAGTGAAAAAAACAACAACACAATTTTTATCTTAATTTCATTCATAATTCCCCTTTCCAAATTGGCTACACATGTTCTTCTGATACCTATATAGGAATTTACACATATATCGTTTTCACCTCTTTAATGGAAAATATTTCTTGACAGTTCTTAGTTAGTTGCTCATCCTTACCATTTGTTAAGATTACTAGTGACTATTCTCTTACAGGAGCCCTGTAGGGTAAGCACTGTACTGCTAACTATAAGCTCCTGGTGTGGTTCTGTGGGTTAATGTGCTGAACTGAAAAGTCACTTTGAACCCCTGGGTCAGCAGTCAGGCTCACCAGATGCTCCTAGGAAACCCTATACAGGGTTGCTGTGTGTTGGAACCAACTCGGCAGGACTTCCCAACAACAACAACATTTCTTTTTATTGTGAATTGAGTGATAGTTTACATGGGAGAACATTGGTTTTATACTTGTTGTTTCATTGCAATGATTTATAGTGTCTTTCGTGTATCAGCATTCAACAGTATTTGCTTCTGTTCCCTCTGTTTTTTGTTTGTGCTTTTTCTGGATATACACAGAAACACTCAGGAATATATAATCATTTAAATAACCAAAGGGCACATTCTGCAAGCCTGCTTCCTGGCCGCCAGCACCCAGTCCCTCTCTTTCTGTGAGACTAGCGGCTCTAATTCTCCATGTTATCATCTCTCCTTCTATCTCTGGTGTCGCTGCTACTCTGGATAGGGTCCCACATTCCACTCGTGCTTTTCTCCCTTGATAGTCCTAGAGTCCTCTCTTGGACTGTAAAGTTAACTACGCCCTCCTTTTTGTTAAAAAACTTCTGCCTTTACTCTGGTGACAATTGCAATTAGTCATGATAACAATTACTATTGAATCACAAGAATCTTATCCCAAACTCTTTTCACCAGACCCATCTAGCTAGACAAGATGAAGTCTGTTCAGTAGGGATTCTACCTTCCCCCGCACACTCTGAAACAACTCCCTCTTGAAAACGTGTAAGCCAGACACTTCCTGCCAGTATAGCACCCCCATTTTAGGTAGCCAATGTCTATTTTGCCCGTCCCTGTCATCCCTGTATACAGTGGGGATAGAATTGATACTTGATGCTAAAACTGCTTCCTTCTCAGTTGGTATTTTGAGCTACTACATCCATAAGTATAGGTCAAGTTGATCAAATTGTAGCAATTTACACTAACAACATTTCTTACAGGAATCCTATAGGATAAGCACTGTACTAGTGCTTCAAACCCACCAGCCGCCCCTTGAGAGTCCTAGACGAGGGTCCTTATGAGTCAAAACTGACTTGATGCCCTTAACATCAATGTTTTCTTACAGATCTTGGGGTCATTTCTCAATCTTCATAATATTTGGCCTCTTAAGGAGCTCTGGTAGCGTAGTGGTTACGAATCGGGCTGCAAACCTTAAGGTCAGCGGTTGGAAACTACCAGCCGCTCCGCGGGAGAAAGATGAGGCTTTCTACTCCCGTAAAGATTTATACCCTCGGAAACCCTGTACAGGGTCGCTATGGATCGGAACCGACTCGACGGCACTTAACAACAGCAGCATTTTAAATAGTTGATCTCTTCCTGCTTACCTGGAACTTTTCTTTCTTAAGGTCTAAGACATTATACTATTGGTTTTTCATCCTCATTTTCTGTTCTTGCTGTTTTCTGTGTCAGTCCTTGTACCTTTTCTCCATCTGTATTTTTTCTGTGTGTACTTCTGTGCTGTTCCATTTCTATAAGGTGATGCACAAATTTTTAACTCCAGGGTCAACCTCTCTCTTGTTGAGTTGTGAACTGTTGTATCCAGTTTCTGTTTGGCTTCTCTACTTGAATTTCTAATAAGCATATTATTAGAAATTTAATATGTCTAAATGGATTGCATCTCAATGTAAAGAAAACAAAAATCTTCACCACTAGACCAATAACATTCTTATCAATGGGGAAAAGATTGAAGTTGTCAAGGACTGGAAGCAGCAGTCAAGAAATCAAATGACATGTTGCATTAGGCAAATACGCTGCACAAGACCTTTTTAAAGTGTTGAAAAGCAAAGAAGTCAGCTTGAGGACTAAGGTGTGCCTGACCCAAGTCATGGTATTTTCAATAACCTCATATGCATGTGAAAGCTGGACAGTGAATAAGGAAGACCATTAGAAGAATTGATGCTTTTGAGTTATGGTGTTGGAGGAGAATATTGAAAGTGGCATGGTCTACCAAAAGAACCAGTAGATCCATTTTGGGAGAAGTGCAGCCAGAGTGCTCCTTGGAGGGCAGAATGACCAAACTTCGTCTCTCATCCTGTGAGGAGGACATATTGTGAGGAGGGACCAGTCACTGGAGAAGGATTCATGTTTGGTAAGGTGGAGGGTCAGAGAAAACGAGGAAGACCCCATGCGAGATGGATTGGCAAAGTGTCAACAGCATCAATGGGCTCAAGTGTGGCAACAATTGTGAGTTTGGCCCAGCACCAGGCAGTGTTTCGTTCTGTTTTGCATAAGGTCGCTATGAATCTGTACCGACTCAATGGCACATAACAACAACAAATAAATAGAGGAGTCCTTGTGTGGCACTGTAGAATAAGCATGGACTGTGAGCCACAAGGTTGGCAGTTCAAACCCACCAGCTGCTCCTCGGAAACGCTGTACACAGTTGCCATGAGCCAGAACTAACTCAAGAGCATTTAACAACAACGAATAAATAGAACTTTTGTTTTTTTACCCAACCCCAAACCAGGCTTTTTCTATTAAAGTAAAATGATGCTAGCATTCAGGTAATTGCTAATGCTAAGCCTAGGTGCCATCTTTAACCCTTCTGTCTTATAGTACAGGCCATCATAATCTTTTATAGTAAGTAGTCTCCTAATTGGTCTCCCTGCCTCTTTAATTCCCCCACCCTTGTTTTTCTGTACAGCCTCCAGAGTAATCTCTAAAATATATCTCAAATCATGTTAGTCCTTACTCAAAACGTCAAAGGCTTTACATGACACTTAAAACAGATTTCTACAAGGCCACTCTATGATCTAGCCTCTGGTGTCCTCTAATCTGTGAGCTTTCCTTACTCCTTCATCCAGGTTTTTCTTCTTACTATTCACGCTATGTAGAGTACTTTCTCCCCCAGGATCTTTTCAGATATCCTCATCACAACTTGGCTCTATTATATTGTTTATTGTCAGACATGAACATGGGCTTCCTCTGTTCATCATTGCATTCCCAGTGCCTAGAATGTGAGGTAACTTAAAAAGTTCGTGGGAAAAGTCCAGTATCTTAATTACATTTTTGCAGAAACTTTGAAGACCCATCCTGAGTGTGCGTGTAAAGATATGTAATGAATGAATTCTATAATCTGTTATATTAGTTGGGTATATTAGTTATGTATTTTTGTATAACAAATAACCATTTAGCACCTTAATGCAACACATTTGTTATCCTACAGTTTCTGTGGGTCAGGAGTTCAAGCAGGCTTAGTGTTGGGTCTTTTGCAAAGCTATAATCAAGGTATTGGTCAGGGCTGTGCTCTCATCTGAGGCTTGACTGCGGAAGGATCTTATTCCAAACTCACTTCATTGTTGACAGAATTCAATTTCTTGAAGGCTATTGGATTCTTTTGCTGGTGTTGGCCAGAGGCTACCTTTCGTTTTTTGCCACATGACCCTCTACATAGGTAGCATACATTCTATTGTTGTTATATGTCATTGAGTTGATTCCAAATCCCTTTGCAGGGTTTCTCTGGAGCAGCATGCATAGCATACTTGATAACAGAGAGGACAGCTAGTTCCTAGTCCTTTGGCGGATCAGAATGTCTATAATCTAGCAGTGTTCTCTAATCCATGCAGTTTGTGCATCCTCATCTGGGTGAAATTGTTCCCAAGAGGGTGAAAATTGTTCTTGAAGGGTAAAAACCATATTCTTTTATATACATAGTACACAAGCACATTATGTGAGAGGATTTCAAACATTTTTGGAAAGCTCTGTTATTTGTTAATCCCATTTTCCATGAACATTTTGAAACTTGTACAGTTTATCTGCGGTACACAGATGGGTGGGGAAATAGGGAAAAAGTCATAAAAGGCTTCTTAGGAGCGCTGGTAGTGTAGTGATTACAAATTGGTCTGCGAACCTTAAGGTTAGCAGTTCGAAACTACCAGCTGTCCCGCAGGAGAAAGATTAGGGTTACTGCTCCTGTAAAGATTGACAGCTTCGGAAACCCTGTACAGGGTCTCTATGAGTCAGAACCGACTCCACAGCAAATAACCAACCACCAGAGAGATGTTAATGAAAAAGGAACTGAGAAACTCTGATTTACTTCAGTGCTAGAATAAATCTTTTATCTGTTGAGTCTCTGTTACCACATGATCATTTTTCCTTCCTTGAATATATTTATATTCTTCTTTGTGTCTGAAATTTATTCTTGTCCTGTACTGAATTCCTTCACATCTTTATGACCTGATACTGTTGTTAAGTACCATGGAGTCGGTTCTGACTCATAGCAACCCTGTATAGGATTTCCGATGCTGTAAATCTTTATGG